GGCAACCTTCTGAGAGTGGCACAATAATACAATAATATGGCTGGTGTGTGTCCGGTTTTCCTCAGCAATTCTTCGCTTATTCGGTAGTGTGAGATCAGTTCTCCTGTTATTTTTATCTTTCGGGTAACACCTGTCTATCTGAAAACGGAAGCAAGGCTTTACGACAATCCCTAGGCTAGAGTGTGCGCAACTTAGTTTGAAGTTATTGAAGGATTTGGATTCGCACAGCGTTGGGAAGTCTGCAATGAGATCTTTCTCCTCAGCACAATGTTACTTACATGGTCGACCCATCCTTGCTATCACGTCTTGACCAGTTCTGTTCGTTGTCGCCCCTACCCACTCCACCCCCCCCCCACCTTCCTCCTCCCGCCCCCCTCCCACGCATCCTTTTCTTAATCGCTTTCTCAAAATTCGATCCTTTCTTGTCTGTACCCACAACAAGCGTCCCGAATGAGGATAAGAAGCTAGGGGGTGGGGGCACCACTATGCAGTACACGGCCGACACGAAGTGCTCCCTCTAACCTCTGAGTCGAGGAACTTCCTTTCCAAGTAGGTACCTGAATGCCTAAACCAGCAGAAGGTGGGCGCTATCAGAGCTGCCGTTTCCCTAATAGTCTACACACTAAAGTCGCATGTTGAATAGCTGTGCAGAGGGTAGTTTAATGTTAACGGTAATGAGGAAAAATTACCTGCTGCACAATAAAAATCAGAAACAGAAGCTTCGTCATGGGCTTGGGAGGGCACTTCTCATAGGGAAGTGAGACGAAATGCTGCTTGCAGAATTACGGTGACGTCCAGCCCGTGCTTTTTAGGTATAATTATTGTTTCCTAGACATATGGCAATATCATATCATCAAAAGACTGGAAAAACCTTTATGTACTGCAAGAGAGGCACCCGCACTATCAGTCGTGACATCTACGTGAAATTGAAGGCATTTACAAACCTTTCTTGTGATTCTGTAATTAGTGACATTTAATAGCCCTTCTTGTGCTCTCTGAGTCTTCCGATAGCTTATCAGTGATAGTTGAGCATAACCTTGGCCTTCGATATTTGCCAAGGCAAAATGAGACGGCTTCATGTATCTATTATTCGTCCTGCAGCACTAGTTGACCCACTGGTAGAAAGGCGTCAAAATTTGCATGATCTATGGGATCACACCCTACTATCACACCCACCCTCCAACTTGGCTTGTAGCGCACTTGTCCGGCAAGCGCGAGGTGAGGGTTCGAGTCCCGCATGGGACGAAAGTTTTGTTCATATCCCAGCATTCTTGTGAAACATTCGCAAGGCGAACTGCGGCCCAAAACAGCAGTTAACAAACAAAATCAGAGTCTGGTTGCTGAGGGAGCAAGACCACTATGCCATGGAGTGGTAGATAGCTGCTGCGCCTTCGAAGCAGGGTCAACCGTCACGTTCGAACATTTTCGGGATTTTTGCGACCCCCTAGCTCTCGAGAGGGGTCCAGTTGCGACCCCCTGTTTTTGTTAATAAGTGCTAGACATGAATCCGTTGCGCCAGAAAGCGTCTGCGCGTCGTCGCGTTGGCTTGGAGGCAGGTATCACCCGGGCGCTGGAAGAACGGACGCGGCGAAGAAAAAATTTTAGAGGGAATAACTTTCTTAGGACGTATTTTTTTGACTTGTTGAGGTGTAGAATTTTGTTCTCGGAGGGGCGTTGCAAAAACTACCTACACGTGATCTTCTGCCTCTATAGCATCCGTTCGATCGGTGCCATTCTGTTGGTCCAGTGGAAACCCAAATTTAGAAGGCGCACTTCAACTTTTGAAGGCCCACAAAATCTTCGTATGCCAGCACATTTTTGGAATAGATGAAGGCTCAGAAAGCTTTCAAATAATTTCCCATTGAAAACAGGTGTGAAGTTTTGTGATTGACCCCTTTTTCAAAAAATTGTCCCGTTCGAAATTTTCCGTGCGAAGGCGAGTTTTTAGGCTTTCAGCGGCTATAACTCACTTCATTTTCATTTCTGTGATTCATATTTGCATGGGAGAAAGTACAGGATTTGCTCTTTCTAACAAGTCGTTTTTAGTTCATTTTCGAGAAATACACGTGTCGACATTTTGTTTTCTAGTTTTGAGCGCACATGCGGTTTTTGAGATGTAGAATGGTCTTCCTCAAGAGCTTGTTGGGGAGGAGCGAAGACATTTTTGAAGACTACGAGATTTCTGCTTTCTTATGAGTGTTTTACCGTTGTCTGGAAGAATCGTCCTCAGAAAATCAGGTCCCGAAGAACTTTAATTTCAGCCCCGAGAAGTCAAACCTTTCATAGGGATGCATTCAACTGTTCTCTATTCCTCAAGGAAAACACCGTAATTTGCCTAAAACTGTCTCTTTGTGCATAATTAATCGAATCTAATGCGGTCTGCACAAACAATTCTTGCCCTCGGATACGCCACGCACGCGCCTGTGGCTGACAGTCTTCGAAATTGCGACCCCTTCCGACCAAAATGCGACCCCTTCGTTCGGAACAGTTCGTAAGCGGACGGTTGACATGCTTCGAGGAGCGTGCTGTGCCTTGCGTGGTCCGTCGGCTGCAACAAGCAGTGATGGCGCACCCTGCTTGGATGACTGAGGACGTGACCTGTTGGACTTAGGGATGCTTTCATAGGGGGGCGGTCAGTGCGAAATCGTGCGGGAGAGGTAGAAAAGCGTCAACACGCGCTCTGGCGCACGGAGCGTACTTGGCGCGCAGTCGGCCACTTCGAATCGACAAATTCGGTTTCTTTACATTTCCTTTCGTTTTCCAGGTGCTCCACGTACCATGTTGCTTTTGCTCGTGTTTTTTGGCGAGAATCTTTAGTGCCAAGTGGGTTGGGGGGAACCGCGCGACGGCGCTCTGTTCGTTTGCTCCTCCAAGGCTTAGATCGCCGATGGGCGCGTAGGTTCGAACTGACATGGCGGACGAATAGTAACGCGATTGGACTAGCGATTACAGTAGCCAGAGACAGAAGGTGCGCCGCGCCGCCACGTTGATCCCGCAACCACGTTAGAGCGAGCTTTTCTCTTTTTTCTGGTGAAAGGGGGATAGCTTTTCAGTGGCTTAGTAGATGTTAGGTTCATACCAGTGTGGAATAAATGCCCAGTAAGCTGCCGGGTGAGTGAATTAGTAGAGCAACGTAATCCATACAAAAGGAACGTGGGAGCGACAAGGCAAGTGGAAAGCAAACGGACACAAAAGTGGAAGAAAATAGAAAACGTATGGGAAATTTGGTTATCGATGGAAGGCGGCCGATGAGATTAAGTATTACGCACGCGCGTCACGAGCGGTGTTGACGCTTATCACTATCTCGCACGGGTCGCAGGAGCGTTATGAAGAGGCCTTACAAAGATTATGGTAACAATCACCGTATTTTGAGTCATTGCTCCGGAGTGAGGGAAGAGAGAAGTTGTGTTCAGCGTCAATAGGAACATTTATTGGGTTCTTTTTTGGTATATTGACGATTCTGCCTAGGTATCGGTATTTATCGAACAGTCTTATTCGTGGAAAAGTCCTGATCGAGAGCCGCTTGCCTCCGTGTCCTCGGGCACGAACAGTGATGACGCGCCCTCATTTGACTGACTAGACCGATTGACCCTGTCAGTACTTTAGGCTGCTTTCATAATTTGCGGTCCGCGGTCCGCGCGAAGAGAGTGAAAAGCGTCAACTCGCGCTGTAGGCCACGATGCATGCTTGGCGGCTGCGTCCGTCGGCGACTTTCGATCTGATGCTGAGGTTCATACAGTAGACAAGTTTTGAACAAGTTGGCAGTAAGCCAGTGACGTTCATTTTTAGTAAGCAAAGGCAGTAATCATACAAAGAAAAGTGAAGCACAAACGAGCCACACAAAACAACAAAAAAAAATAGGAAAAAAATGTATTGAATATCGGGATTCATTTGATCGAAAGGAGCCGACTGTGCGCAAGTACGATGTTCCGCGCGCCCGGACCGTGTTGGACCTTTCCACTATCTTAGGCGGCGGTCCGCCGGACCGCAAAACTATGAAGCGCGTGTCCAAGTTCGACTTTGCATGAATCTTGGCATATTTTCAGAATAGAATAGTTTAGTACTGAGCTTCCGACCAAGATTGTCAATAGCTTTATTTGGCCGACGTTTCGGTGCTTTCACCTTCTTCAGAGCCTGGAAAAGTCGAAAGCTATTTAGGAAACTACCCGTCCAAACACTATTTCAACCTACAAGATTCATTCAACAGGGAGTAAACTACTAAAACAATGTCATGGAGGGAGATGAGAACGAACCTTTAGAGATGCTGGCCAGAGAGGTCCACCTGCCACCCCGAGCTGGTAGTAACGTGGCTTAAATAGGTAAAGCCTTAGGGTCATTTGCTTTAGGGACCTCCGGAGGGTTGATCATGTAGATCAAATCACTCCAAAAGACCCCTCGAGGCTAGGCGCGCCGCTGAACCCCCTGAACCCTTATTATTGATTACTATGCAGTAGCCCCGACCCGCCCCCGTCAGGAAATAAAAGCTATTGACATCTTGGTCGGAAAGCTCAGTACATCAAAACGTTTCTTGGATGATAAGCAGCCTTCAAGAATATTGGTGCACTATTGAATCGAATCCTTGCGATCATTGTTCCTTGGTAGAGATGACGAGACTAGTAATGCGATTACCCAGCAGTTCAGCAGAAAGAACATTTTATTCGCGCTTCTCTTTGTGATAACTGAAACGAATTTCTCTTCAGGAATTGGCATTTATTGAACACAAGGCAATGATTTCGTACAAGATGGAACAATTCTATCCTACTGTCAAAATGCTGGGCGAAGGAATGTCACCATCGCTGCGAGAAATGGAATCAAGACGCCGAATCCCATAGTTCCTGCAAAGGTAACATATCCATAAACATCCTATTCACTTGAAAAAATCTGAGTTTTTTCTTCTAAAAATGTTCCTACAGTAGTCACATCTTTCATCATTGTTCGAAAGAGTGACTTAATAGCTATCGAAATAAGAATAAAGGTACGAATTGAGCTTGACCTCACCATCAGAGTTCCTTCCTTGTAGCTTCCTGCTCAGATCTCGCGTCAGTGTTGGTTGGATGACTGCGATTTTTGCCGCTTTCAACTGGATCATTTGGGGAGCTCGTTTCGATGACAACTGGAGAAGCTGTCCCTTTCTCGGCGACTGGAGCAGATGGAGCTAACCATTTCCCGATGATTTCTTCAATCTTTTTCCGAGTTTCGACGAGGTCAGGTACGTCTTCTTCCCGTGCTGGAAGCATATCTGCACAATGTGCAGTTCCTGAAATAATGAGGTAGATGAACTAGACACTACTAGAACTACTGCTACTTTTATTCGTAAGTAACAGCGTAAGTGATCGGTAAGCGTTAACATAACATCTACATATGTCGACCATGGCCATATCATGGTTTGTGAACTTCAAGGCAGAGCTTCACGACGAAAACTCGCCCGGCCAGAAATCAAGGTAGAGGTGGTCACTGATGCAGAGACAAAGAATCAAGAGAAACGGCCTAGAACCCGAGAAATGGAGCCCCTCTTTGCCCCTTAATTTGCACGTTATGCCAGTCTCATCGCTGCTGATCTCATCAATGCTAACACTCTCTGTGCGCAAAAGAGGATTGCTCTGGGAATCGCACGCACGCAAAAGGGGATTGCTCTGGGAATTTGAACGTCACCCCTGCTTTGATGAGGTGATAAAATGACCAGCCTTTTTTTGAGTTTCGCAGTGTACTCAATCTAAGTTCTTTAGCTCAATCACCTTTGATCAGATAGCAGTTATTGGAAGGATCACAGGTCACGTTACCGAGAGCATGCCATGGATCCAGAGAACCATGCGTCATCACCACATTTGTTCCCTAGAAAGCTACTACTTCCATACCTTTTTTGTAGATAGTATTCCTAGCACTCTTATGTCACCTTGTAGTTATATCGACCACCCGTAATGGCGATTCGTATTGAGCACAGCTTGTCGATTTATTGCCGCTGTGTACCTCGTCTCGTTGCCGAACACATCAGAACACATTTGTGTGAAGAAACTGAAAGCTGAGGTTTGAGTTAGTGGCGCGAAATTTAACACTCTATTTTTTATTGTTTGATGTAGATATTAATAATTTTTTTCCGGTGCTAACTTAGTTGGGGGGGCCACGCGGCGGCGCGGCAGTCTGCTCACCTGGGCTCTCTCGAGCGAGACAGTGTAAACTCGAACATTCCAGCTTTTCACGCATGTCAAGTGACTGCCCCCACCCCCACCCCCTAGACTGCCTACACTCCCCCTGGCCACGGATTTCCGAACATGCCAGGCGAGCAGACTGCCGCGCCGCCGCGTGGCCCCCCCAACTAAGTTAGCACCTATTTTGTAATCTGCTTTTTACTTACTTTAATTGTTTAGCGCTGATGGGAGGAAAGAAGCATAACGAATGTATGTTGCCAAATCTTGGATTGTTTTTTTCTGTAAATGTTGGGACAACAGATTGGAAATCTTGTCTACAATCTAGAAGGAGTACGGCTGGCAGTCACGCGTCGCTCCACAACCATCTCATGCTTACGGCCGTCGTTTAGATTTTCAAGACGCAATACCATTTTTCATGACAAAAGGATAATTTTTGGCATAAAGTAACATCTGTTTTGGCGGGAGAATTTTGCATGTACAGTCGATTCTATTTCGTTGCCGTTGAAAACTTACTTCAATGGTAATGGACTGCCGAAAATACTGTAGCTCGAGTCACTAGACTGGTAGAAACCAAATTCGGTACATGTTTGCCATGTCCAAAGAAATGACGCTGATTCATCTTAAATACAAGCAATAAATTTGAGTAGGGGTCTACTACTCTTCTGGTATGGTTATACTTTGAAAAAAAATGAAGTATTACAAATATGGCATTGAAATAATGGATGAAATAGTTTAATAGTTGACTCAGCAAATTCTATTTAATAGGTCACTTTTTTGGAGCGGAAGTGGCGCTGTAATGGTAAACCTTACCACCGGCGAGCGGCCTAGCCGATGAGTCTTCCCGAGATACGATCTCTTCACCTCTGGTCGGTTAATTACGGTACCAGATTGTCTGGGGAGCGGTAAAATAACACTAAACCTTGCACATCGCTCTCATATTCGCATTCAAACGCCAACTACGAATTTGTACGAGTGGAAGTATTAGGATGGGCCATTGCACGCCGAATCCCAAAAAAGGGTTGATGATCACGGCAAATGCTTTATACTTTATCCTTATTTATGTCAGAATTTTTTACATTCGTCAACCACAACATTCAGCTTACAAAATTCGCAGGGTAAAAGTGGTCGCATAATAAGTTGGTGAATGGCGAGATGCTGCAAATGAAAGAAGAAACAAAGAAACCGCGATAACGACCTCTGAATCGAGGACCTCTCTCCCCTTCAAATCAAGGCGGAGGAGGGGGTGCGGTGGACGAGCTGGTTCGGAATACATAATTTTGCCCCGCCGGCATATGATTAATCTCCCGCTCCTGTCGCTGCACGCACCATGTTGGAATAGAAGTGGCGGAGCTTCAGGAGGCTGTGGTTGATGATGAGGGTGTGGCGACACCAGCTTAGGTGGGGAGGGTCGTTAAACTCCATGGTGTCAATGGTTGACTCGGCTTGATGGCACAACTATGTTAGGATGGTTACTAGATGTTAAGATCCTCATGGTCGTAGGTAAAGCTGTTATACAAATGTTCCAGACTCCCCTTTCCTATGTTTCAAGTGCGCGGAAAGGACGGCAGCGGCTTACAACAGAACGCTTTACTCTTACTCGCTCTTTCGTACGCAGCGTAGCCTGATTCATAGACTGGACGCTTGTCGTATGCTTGGCTCTAGTCCATTCCTATCTCGTTCCTGCTCAAGTCTCTCGTGCTGCACCAGAGTATGGGGATCTTTCCCTTTTTTTGTACACACCCGAGCTTACTTCGAGCAAATTTTCTGGGTTTACTTTTTGCGTGCAAACACACCTCTCGAGCTTAGACGATGCTCCTTGAGTATAGGACCCATGGCCAATAGTTCGTCCGATCCCAAAAAAAAGTAAAGACTTCAAGGCAGTGGTAACACAGTCGTGAAGCGGCAGTCACTTGATGGAAGTGGTTTGGTGGAAATTCGATCGCCAATTACAGGGTTTTCCACCCCAATTCGTAAACTTTGCATTCCATTTCGTAAACGTTGCAACCAATTTCGTCAACGTTTCAGCTATTTTCGTAAACGTTTCAGCCCATTTCGTAAACGTTGCAACCAATTTCGTCAAAGCAGCAGATATTTTCGTAAACGTTGCAGCCCATTTCGTATTTCTTCCAGCCCATTTCGTCAACGTTGCAACCAATTTCGTCATTCTAACGCCCAATTCGTCACTTTTGCAAGCAATTTCGTAAACATTGCAATCAATTTCGTAAATTTCCGTAGTGTGCGAATTGGTGTAATTCGTATAATGTGGTTAAGGGCCGCAATGTGGCTCGGGCGTGGCAGCCGCTGCCGCGGAGCGTGCGGCAGCACGAAATTCGTGAGCCAGGAGGAATGAAGCCAATACAGGGGGAGGGTCGGGGTGAGGGCAGTCACCGAACATGCGTTGGAAGCTGGAATGTTCGAGTTTACACTACTTCGCTAAGCCGTGGCGGGGCGGCGACAGCCTCATCCCCTCCACTCCCTTCGCCGAGCACTTGCCGCCTGTATTTGTAATGTGTGACAATTTACAGAGCACAACTAACTACAATCAGCTAACCACTTCGTTGGCAGAAAACGTCACACTGGGCAATGAGAACTGCTTACGCACCTCAGAATCCCTCTTCTCCTCTGAGGTTTATTCCTAAAACTGGGTTTCGGTGAATCTGACGCAGCGATACGGGCTGCCCCCTCCCCGCCCCTGGAGCAACATGCGCCCCAGAAAACTATCACATTTTGTGTAACCGTCGTTTAGGTGTTTGTTCTGCATTGGGGCGGGAAACAAAGATTTTTCGGTCCATTTGGCTAACATACTATGTACCACACCATTGCATACAATGTGGTGGTTGAAGGTCAGTGAATGAAGGAATCGGGGAGATTGGGGAGGGGGCACGCGATAGCGCAGCGTTGTTCTCGCCTGCTCCTCCAAGTCAGCGATGGCTGGTTGACGGACTACTTTGACGCGGACCTTAAGCCGTCTCAATCCGAGGCTCTCGTCTGCGCTCTCTCGCCTTATAAGCTGGCTGAAGACCAATTTGATCGCACACATTTAAACTTTTGCCAGTCTGTAATAGGCTCACCCATCCTGGAGTTCCCCCCCCCTCTCCAACACGGTTTAGTCTTATGGCTCTCACTTCCTTTCCTTGGGATCTGGAGCCGAGCCAGGAGCTGTTCACCAATTGTTTGTGCTCTCCGCCATTCGTGGCGACCATAGAAAGAAAAATTCAAGTAGTCCGTAATCCGCGATGGCGCGTATTTCGGAACTGCCGACATGGCGAAAGAGTCCTCAAAAGTTATTCTAAGTGATTGTGGGTCTAGAAAGTATCTACTCTCGCGAAACTCAGGTTAGATGGGGGCGGGGAAGCAGGGTCAACCGTCCGTTCGAACTGTTCGAACGAAGGGGTCGCATTTTGGTCGGAAGGGGGTCGCAATTTCGAGGACTGCCAGCCACAGGCGCGTGCGTGGCGTATCCGAGGGCAAGAATTGTTTGTGCAGACCGCATTAGATTCGATTAATTATGCACAGAGAGACAGTTTTAGGCAAATTACGGTGTTTTCCTTGAGGAATAGAGAACAGTTGAATGCATCCCTATGAAAGGTTTGACTTCTCGGGGCTGAAATTAAAGTTCTTCGGGACCTGATTTTCTGAGGACGATTCTTCCAGACAACGGTAAAACACATAAGAAAGCAGAAATCTCGTAGTCTTCAAAAATGTCTTCCCTCCCCAACAAGTTCTTTGAAGGAAGTTATTATTGCTGAAAGCTCAAAAACTCGCATGTGCTGCTCAAAAACCTATGGGAACAAAATGTTCGAACGTGTGATTTTCTCGGAAAATGGATTTTGAAAACGGTTTGGTGCTTTTCAGAAAGAGCAAATCCTGTACTTTCACCCCATGAAAAAAGTGCATCACAGAAATGAAAATGAAGTGAGTTATGGTCGCTGAAAGCCCAAAAACTCGCTTTTGCACGGAAAATGTTCGAACGGGACAATTTTTTGAAAAAGGGGACAATCACTAAATTTTTATACTGTTTTGATAGAGAAATATTTGAAACTTTTGACAGCTTTCCAAAAGGTCGCATACGAAAGATATTTATGGGCCTTCAAAGTTGAAGGTGCGCCTTCTTAGAATTTTGGGTTTTCCACTTCTAACAGAAGTACTTTCCGGAGAGTTAGGCAATCCTTGTAGTTTTCTGGAAGCGCACCTCAGGCACAATCAAAATCTACCTCAACAAGTCAAAAAATACGTCCCAAGAAAGTTATTCCCCTCTAAAATTTTTTCTTCGCCGCGTCCCGTTCTTCCAGCGCCCGGGTGATACCTGCCGCGCTCCAAGGCGACGCGCAGACGCTTTCTGGCGCAACGGATTCATGTCTAGCACTCTTATTAACAAAAACAGGGGGTCGCAACTGGACCCCCTCGAGAGCTAGGGGGTCGCAAAAATCCCGAAAATGTTCGAACGTGACGGTTGACCCTGGGACAGTCGCCGTCGCGGCTTAGCGAAGTAGTGTAAACTCGAACATTCCAGCTTCACACGCATGTTAAGTGACTGCCCTCACCCCGACGCTCTCCCTGAATTGGCTTCATTCCCCCTGGCTCACGAATGCGGCGACTGCCCCCTCCCCGAGCCACATTCGGGGTCAACCGCCCATTGCTCAAAAAACACAACGACGAGGGGGTCGTATTCAGCCGACCGAAAAGGGAGGGGGTCGTATCCAGAGACGGGCTGCAAGACGGCTTGAAAAGTGCAGTGTCCGGGCAGTGCACTTTCACCTCTAATGTTCTCCAGGAGCTCTGCACCGTGCAGCTGTCGGAGAGTCACACAGACAAGAGCTCCATGGGAGCATTAGAGCATGCAGAGCATTATAAGTCTCACTATCAGCCATTATTATCCTTAATACACGGACGGCGCTTTCGCTCGACAGCATAGATCAAGATTACAATAGCCAAAAACTTTGTTACAGCGTAGTGCAAAAACATGGTCTGTCTTCGATGATCGAACATTCCTGAAATCCCAAGGAGAACAAAGTGTAGAGCAGTTCATGGGGAAGTGAAACAAGAGTACCATATAACAGTACAATGCAACTCAATCACGATACTAACACCTTCTTCAGGAAAATGGAGGACTTTCAAATGCGAGTGCGACTTCTGTCCACAGACAGGTGCACGGCGTATACCCGAGCAGGCGTTTTCCCACAAAAACGCCTTCTCTGTCAGCGGCCGTAAGCAGACAAACTTCCTGAAGAGAATTTTGATGCTTTCAAATCAAATCTAAGCGGAACAAAGTGTAGCGAATTTGCTGAATTGAATTCTAGAGACCCCTTAGGAAAATTGAGGCAGAAGAAAGAATTTCAGGGAAATTTTACACTTTTATGAAGTACTCTTCGCGTAGATTCTAACAGTCTTTACCGCTTCTCATCACATAATTTGAAGGAAGTTATGGGCCTTTGAAGACTGCATAGTCGCGGTCCAGGAAAATGGCTTGAAAAAATCAAAGGTGGAAAAACGGAACAACGGGACTATTTTTTGAGCGAGTGATTATTTCAAAAAGTTTTAGCACTTATTCGAAAGCTCTAATCTTCTAGTTTCTAATTAGCCTTAGACATCTGCAAAAAGTTATGAATGTTTGAAT